CACACACACACACACACACACACACACACACACACACACACATTCCGATTTATACCGCCCATCGATTCGGGATCTGCCCATCGTGACCTGGATTCTGACATGGGCCAACCCTCCATCTCGCCATCCGTTGCCGCCGGCGTAGGGGAAGTGCAACTTTTGTGAGCAGCTGTGACAAGTTGAATTGTTATGAGTGTATCTGGAAAAAAGAAACTCTCTCTCTCTCTCTCTCTCTCTCTCTCTCTCTCTCTCTCTCTCTCTCTCTCTCTCTCTCTCTCTGAGAGAGAGAGAGAGAATCTCTTTTTTTTAGATACACTCGTAACAATGGCCGTCCTCCCCATCTTCATTTTGCTCCTCCTCCGTGTTGTCCTCCTCGCAGTCCACTTCCCACCTGCTCCCTCCTCCTTCCTACTTCCTCTTTCCCTTTTGTCCGCTCACTATGCACAGAAGATTAGCATGACCCCTGTCCATCATCCGGACCTCGTCCCTTCCCTTTCCCCACTCGCTCCTTCCTCCTTCCTCTCCCGCTCCTGTGGGTCATCGATCACCCTTATGCTGGCTCCCCTCTACATCGTTGTTACTGTCCTCGCTTCTCCTCCTCTCTTCTACATGTGGCTGTGTATCCCCCCTCCTCCCCCCTCCTCCCCCCTCCGCCTCCACCACCTATTTTCATCCATCTTCTGCTCTGATTGTCGCTTCTCCTTCCTCCTCTCTCGTAAGGATGGCCCCTGCAACCAAAAAAAAAAGAAAAAAACAGTACGATCATCCAAAATGGACTCATGGTTGACGCTACGAAGGAAAATATGGAGGTAAGTTAACCGACTAATGGACAGATTCCCGAGCGTCTCAGATATGGTGGTGAATTGGGGCAGTAAGATCCAAGGGTGTGGATACACTATCAGGGGGGAAGAGCCCCGGATGTGCCTAACGTGCACTGGCTTGCATTGGAAGCCCCGGTCTGTATCCTTGGAATCGCGATGTCAGCCCTGGGGCGCCCTCCATCAAATGATAATTGGATCAGCGCACCGGCCCTAGCCAAACTAACCATTTGGCGCCACAAACACACCTCTATCTTTGGCGGAGCCCTTGTCATTAACAATGTCGTATGGGGCACAATGTGGTACAAACCGGTGCTCTGGCCACTGAGCAAGACTGCTATTCAAACCCTTTTTTTTTTTCTTTTTTTTTTTTGAGAAAAGACAGAACCATTTGGTTCTGGCTCCTACCATTCTGGGGAGCAACAGTCCGGTTCCTATTCCCCCGGCAAGTCAATATGGAAAACATGGATGACTCACGCACGCTCCTCCCCATTATGGTTGGGAGGTCCGAGTGGACGATATTGATTACTTCCCTGAGGAAGGATGTACCACCCCTCACCCCTGCCTATTTTAGCCTGTGCTATTTGATCTGTCTGGCTGTTGCCCATCTGTCTGGACCCAGTCCTGCTCCTCTCAGCTGTGATGCTGTCGGGTTGTTGTGTTATGCTAGAGCGGTCTGGAATGTCTGCGAACCTCTTGAAATCTCTSACGTCCTAGGCCCTATCAGCCTTATTCCTTTCTAACCTTTAAAACTAAAACTCTCATGCTAAAACCCTGAACCCTTGTTGTCTGTAGTGCATTTTTGTGGTCTGTCCCTGCCTGGATTTTCTGGCTATTCAAACCCTTAGATCCAAGGTTGCGCCCTTTTTATGGAGGGGTGATGATGAATGGGCAAACGTGATCAGCCAGGTTGCGTGGGAATCGGTAATTCAGCCAAAAAATTGGGGAGGCCTGGGTATCATTGACCCGCAGACCCAAATGCAGCCCCTTCGCCTCCAGTGGGTGAAGAAACTAATCCTATCCCCTTCCTCCCCCTGGCAGTTACTAGCTTTAGAGCATGTAGCCCGGCTAGCCCCCCTGGCCACCGAGGGGGTGCACGCTCTTACTTGGTTGGAGGACCGCTACTGGTCGATACCTAGGAGGGTTCTGGACCAACCGGTGGACAGCTTCTGGCCATCTCTCTTAAAAAGCTGGAGACGGCTTCCTCTCCCAGACAGAACTGCCCCTGACCGGTGGGCGGAAGTATTTCGTCAACCACTTTTGGGAACCGGTGGATCACACCCCATCAGGGACAGATACTGTGCAGCTCAGCAGCACCATGGAAGGGATGGGTTAAGCATGGGATGCTTTGGGTGGGACACCTATGGGACCAGCAGAGGAACGACTGGAAAATGGCTGGTCAACTATGGGATACCCTTCGGCACTGCCACCATATAGACCGACATCTGGACACGATTATTGACGCTATCCCGCTGGCCTTGTACATGCTACTCAGGTGGGGACCCACTCTACAGGAAGGAGACTGGATTGGCCTCACAGGGGACCCGGGTAGGATTGGCCGGATTCGCATGGTCAGAACCTCAAATGTTTTGGTGATATACTACACGATCGGGCCGAGGAACACGCTGAAAGGGTCTCAAAACCCCATGGAGTGGAGGGAGAGAACCGAGGTCTTCCGGGTGCAGGTGTTGGGGGAAGGAGAGGACAGTATGGTCTACCTGCTCCCGTTCATGAACTCGCCTTCAACTTCCAAGAATGGCAATGGAAGACCGGCGGTAGAATAGCGCTGGCAACCAACAAAAGGATCCACCTCCACAGCCTGTTGGTCAAATCCACGTATAGAATGCTCCGCCCCAAACGACTGCTGTGAGACCTGATAAATGATTGGTGGGTCAGACACCTCAATGTAGATCGCTCCCGCATCACACCGATCCGATGGTTCGCCGACAGTGAAGTCAGGCCAGGTGATAAGAGCAGCCCCTCCTATTAGTCGTCCCAGGTGGCTCCATCTATTGGTGGGGAGCACCACCTGCTGGAAATCGGGTCCAGCGTCCCTGTACAATAATGGTTCGTCCTGAGCAAAGCCCGCCAGCATTGATTGCCCCTGGTTGCCCTGGGGGATTGACTGTGCGGTGAGGATAAAAAGCATGTGGAGAGAGGAGCCTCTTCACCCCTGTACAGGGCGCCCAGAACAGCTTGTCATTCCTAGCCTCTTCTCCTATCTGTTTACCGCTGCCAGAAGACACCTCCCAGAGGCCTGACGTCTTCCTTGCTTTGATATTCGCAGCTTCCCATAGCATCTATGACGTCCCAGTCTCCTGGCAGTAGATGTCTAGCGGCGGGGCTCCCTCCACCCCCGGGGGGCACCGGGGGCAGATTTCGTTCCATGAGTATCAGATGAGGGTTTCAACCAAAGAGAGAGGGTGGGGCGGGAAAGGGTCTGGGAAATCAGAAGGTGGTCTCATGGGGAAGGAGGGTTCGACGTTTGTCCACTTGTTAAAGAGTAGCCTATAATCCCTGTAGGGCTCTTGTTCTGCCTTGTTGTCTTGGTCTCCCCCTACTGTATGTGAGCAATCCATCCCCCCCGATTCTCTCCAAGTCACTCTGTGCCAAAGTGCGTGAGTGCACATTTGATGTTCTGACTGCTGTGAAAGATATCCAGCTGGGATTTGAGAACTTGCCATCTGCGTGTCAGTTCCACCAGGATCTGCTCTTTGATCTGTTCTGTCAGTTCCACCCCTTCCACCCTTACCCCTTCCATCGCTAGGAGGCAACACTGCCACCAGAGGGCCCAGAGGACCAATCGTCTGCCTAATCTATACATATTTTCCGTGAATGGGGAGGATTGAGCCATTGCTGTACAGTGTCCTGTCAATATCGCATGCCAGGACCATGGCCAGGGGGTGTCTGGCAGCATTTTAAGCCATATACGGTCCCACCACCGCCATGCATGAAGACATCCTCGATGGTCTCATTCCACTTGCGCGGGGGGAAGGCTTTCAGGCATTGTTGGCACCAAGGCAGTGCGACCCCCTTTTGTTCCAGGCTTGTGTGGTCAACGAGCCAGGCGTTAGTTGGGAGGCAGCGGTGGGCGATCTGCGACTGCAAAGACCCTACTGGAGGTCGCAGGCTGTGTGTTAAAAAAAAATAAAAAAAATCAGCCGAAATGCACCTAGTTCATAAAGCTCCCCATATACGTGTCAAATGTTCAGTAGCCACCATTTTCTTCCCTCCTCTTGCTTGCACTCTTCTCCTCCTCCTCCCATTTGCCGTTATCCTCCCCCGTCCATCATCCCGATGGTCCTGCTTCCCCTCTTC